TTTTCGTTTGTACCAATATTATGGTTATTTCACTTCACAAAAGGCACGTGTGATTACATCATATATATGTGTAATTTTGTTTTATGCATATATATAAGGATATGGTTTCTTCATATGTTTTTTCACATGTTTTGAGCTATTCACTTTATTTGTGTTGATGATATTATTAATGAGCACTTATTGATATGTATTGTTAACACCGTCATATTATCTATTTTTACTTATTTGATATTTTGGGATCCCACATTCAACATAATTTTATAATTTGAATGTAGCGCTGCATTCCTTATTACTTTTATTTCACTTAATCACTGGTATATGATTTAATGCTAGCAGCTACCTTTGGAATTTATACACACATTTATTTTATTTAATATTTTTTAGTTTCAAAAAACACAATTGGGAGCGCAGGAGGTTCACACCATCACTGTTACAATAGACATATTAAAAAGGAATATACAGTGTTTAAACTGTTTTACATACTTTTGGGGCAGCAATATATTCCCATTTAAGAATACAATTGATACCCTTCTATTATATACCAAATGATGATATTTTGTTAAGGAAATATTTGAAGCTGAACTTGTACATAAAATGTAATTTTTTTTGCAGGCCCCCTCCTCCTTTTAAAAAACCACCTGTAGAGGGGGAAAAGTTAAAATACTATACTAGTGGACAGAGCTAATTTAGCATATGTAAATAGTAGGATTTGTTTTATTATCTACTACTGTAGCCCTGAAGCTGTTGTGTTCCAAGGGGACATATACTGTAGGTAGAAGTAAGTCCTCTTTCACACTGATTTCAAGTTGCAGGCAGAATTGCTGTGATTCTGCTTGCGATTCAAATCAGTCTAAAATAGTGGCAATTTATCCTTAATGGCACCACAAATGGGGTATGATTTTTGTCAAAACTGTTGCATGAAAAAAACACGTGAGAATTGTGGCAAAAACGCCTGTATAAACACTTTGGTCCCTGACCTTCTTTACCTTGACAAAACGCGCATAGGGCAGAACGCATTCAAGTGAAAAAAGCTCTCCTATGGCTGACACGTGAAAGAGAACGTGAATCGTTCTGAAAAAAAAGTTGTGAGCAAGAAGCACTTTTCCACTACGCAAAATTTGAACGGTGGCCTTTAGAAGCGAATCTAAATTTGGATGGCAAATTTTGATCTGTGAGAGAAATACACCAATACTTAGGGATTCTTAATAAAATCATCACACAAATGGTAATTCAATCTTTACATGAAGTATATCTTAGACTGGATGTATTTAGAATATTAGGTAACAGGATTTCTTTAGGTTTTCTTCAATACTGAAACAGTAGATTGCCTGCCCTGTCCAAAGTTAAAATCCTAATTGTAGGGGACAGAAGAATTGGTGGCACAATGATTCATTTATCCTATCAGATATTCCCACATTGGGGAATATCCTCTCACTACATGTGTGGCCATTGAGATTGAGCCTCGGACCTCACACTGATGTGGTGCGGCATATCGCATGGGATTTGCACAGGAAACCACACCGCATTCCTGTGCAAATCACATGCGAGTACTGTGCAGTGCGATTTGTATGGCTAAATCACACTGCATCGGCACCAAAAAGATGCAGCTGGACCCTTTGTTTGGTCCGTACTGGAATAGGAAACGTGTTTTGCAAACTGATTTCAGGGTGTCATTAACTTAACATACACACCTGCAGCAGCAGTTTGCACGAAACAGGGGTGCGATTGTGATGTGGTGCGAAATTCACACAGAAACCACTGCAAATTCTACACCACATCAGTGTGAACCCAGGCTAAGAAAAAATAGATTGGGGAGAGGTTAGAACCTACTTAGAGCTTTAGTTATTCTGGGTCCCATTGGAGAGATTCCCCTGACTTTCTATGTGGTCACCAGAAACAGAACGTAAGAGGAAATCTCTCAATATATGACAAAGACAATAAACAAATGACAGAGGACCCAATCATTTCTCACATTAGAACTATAAAACAAAAATATTGTGGCTTAGATGACCAGTACAAGAGGTCCCACTTACATGGAGGAGCCAGGAACATTGGTTACTTCCAGAGAGAGTCTCAATGTAAACACCATCTTATTGTCTTCCCTAGTTATTTTCTTACTGTTTTCTTATCTAAGCACCTGGAATCAGAGCAGCAAACGGACATTATAAGCTTTTGGTACCTCAAAATACCAACAACTGTCAGTTTGAAATATATATATTTTGCAGAGGGACAGCAGCTAACATTACAAACCCAATACCCAGCTTGGTCACAATTTGTATGTGTTCGCCTCTCCACAACAATATGTGTGACAGCACAAACTTCACACTGCATCACATAGCAGATCAAATATCTTCAAAAGCTTTCATGGTGTTCATTGGACGTTTTAGAAATAACTAGTGCTTAGATGTTCTTAAATACCTAGGTGCATAAAGAAGATATATTTTAGGGCAGTCACAATGGGCAGAGACCACCTCACCTTTTGATTATTCCAACCAGTTTGTGTGTTTTTACACCTGCACTTTTATAATTGCTAAGGTTTTTACCAGATTTATGCCGGGATACAAATTGTCATAAGAAAAACATATTGCTATGCTAGTATTTCTTTGGTTTAATTTTTTTAGGCATTCAGGCTTTTTTCCCTGACTGATCTAAATGCAGCTGTTGCTTTTAATGGGCCTATAAACACCTGGGTAAATAGTGGGTGGGTAAATATAAGTAAGCCATTGCCACATTTAGATCAGTAAAAAAAAATACGCATTACTGGTTAGTATTTGATATACATAAATCACAACTGCTCTATATTATTTAGCATTGTGGGAGATTTTACGTGTGTAAGAGCATATGAGTTCCTATACGCACCACATTTGCTTTTTTCAGACAGGATCTGGCCTTCATAGATCAGTATCATGTGCAAAGACACTTAAGGTGCCCTTTTTTATTCTACAAAAGGTTGTATATCCAGCACCTCTAGTTTTTTTTTCTTGTTTATGACTGATTACAAGCACTGATTTTGGGTGTCTGTTTTCTGTCAGTCCACACATACTTAGAAACATCCAGAGCCATTTATTCCACATCTCTTGCCTGTTATCCATCACTAGTTCAAGTTGTGGAAACCTCTGCTACTATGGAGTAGGACTTTACAAGCAACAAGACAGGATAAGCAGCTTGCTTATGGTGAGGAAACAAAAAGAAGCCCAAAAGGAATTATTATACTGGTATGAGCAAATTTTAACAAAATAATTTCAGGTAAGTGCCATGCTATTTACAGATTCTTACAGTGACCTTGCACATATATTATTATTATTATTATTATACAGGATTTATATAGCGCCAACAGTTTGCTCAGCGCTTTACAATATAACGGGAGACAATACAGCAACAATACAGTTCAATACAAGGGGGATAGGAGGGCCCTGCTCCTTGGAGCTTACAATCTAGGAGATATACAATAATGATTTTGAAGCAAACCATTGATCAATATTGGTGAATTTCCAAAATAGCAATTCTAGCACTGCGTATTTTCAGTCAACACGTTTTATGCTATTATTGCAATATTTACTTTGAACTAATTTTTGACATTCATATTTTCTTCATTTATTATAGTCAGGAGTAAAAAAAATAACCCCTCCATTGCTTTTCTTTTTTTGTTTTGACTAATATGTAATATTGTATATTAATATATTGTATTCTCCTTTCCAATTAGCAGCTGGAGTTTTAGATACACTTTTACCTGTATCAGTCTCTTCTTAGCTCCTTTGTTGTAAAATGTCTGTTACTGATGACTGGGATTCCTTTAGGGAGATTTCTAATTTTCTGTCAAGTGACAGTGACAAATGTTTTACAAGAATGGAAGAGACTAAAATCTCCAAGAGCAACACAGGCAGAAACAAAAGTGCACTGTTTAGTAGATTAGATGAAGATTATGACCCATGTCAACTCTTTGTCGCTGTCCTTGTTCTAGATTTTCCTTCACTTTCTGTGTGCTAAGACTGTTGACACTGTCACAAAATGATGGAAATCTTTCTAGCACAGCACCAGATAGCAGCAAAAATGAATCAGGGATTGTATTCCGTCTCCACTCTATTTGTCTAGACTGGGATCTGAACCCATGACCTCTGCTGCGTCCAGCAGCAGCTCTTCTTGCTGAGCCTCCTGAAATGTTGGCCAGCAGACTGTCTGATCCTTTGGACAATCCTGCCTTGTATTTTGTTTCTGGTGAACCTTGAACTCCTTGCTCCTCCCATGAACTTCCTATTAAAGCAATTCCTTTGCACTTTCTGTTAGCAAGATTATTGTGCACTTCTCCAGCCAATATCTTGTTCATGTCTCTCATGCTGCTGACCGTATCTTCACTACTACTCATTACTGATCTTGGCTTCTTCCTGGACTATGCTTCTGCTCGATCCCAACCTTCAAGCATTCCTTATTGAGCTTTGGCTTGTTCCTTGACTACGCTTCCACTTAATTCCAACCTGCAACTACCGTATTTGCCGGCGTATAAGACGACTTTTCAACCCGTGAAAATCTTTTGAAAAGTCGGGGGTCGCCTTATACGCCGGTATACGGCGAGACGGTGTCAGGGCGCCGCTTTTTCGAGGGGCGTCGCCACCCCCCCTCCCCCTCCAACGGACACCAAGTACAGGGGTGGGCAGAGGGGCTGCTGTACCTTACCTGGCTCCGGTCCCGGTCCAACGACGATCCGGTCCAGGAAGCGCGGCTGCTCCTTCTTTCAGTTAGGCCGCTCGATGGTCCCGCCGCCCGCTCGGCTCCGCCTCCTCACCGGTGATTGGGCGCCAGCACTGGAAAGGCACACAGGCGACCAATCACCGGCGAGGAGGCGGAGCCGAACGGCCCCGCGAAAATCAAGCGGGCCGAACTGAAAGAAGGAGCAGCCGCTCCTCTCCCCCACTGACACTAACGATGGGGCACTGTTCCTCCTCCACACTGACACCAATGATGGGGCACTGTTCTTCCCCCACTGACACCAACGATGGGGCACTGTTCCTCCCCCACTGACACCAACGATGGGGCACTATTCCTCCTCCCACTGACACCAACGATGGGGCACTATTCCTCCCACTGACACCAATGTTGGGGCACTTTTCTCCCCACTGACACCAATGATGGGGCACTATTCCTCCTCCCCACTGACACCAACGATGGGGCACTATTCCTCCCCCACTGACACCAATGATGGGGCACTTTTCTCCCCACTGACACCAATGATGGGGCACTATTACCAATGATGGGGCCTTCCACTGATACCAATGATGGGGCGCTATTCCTCCCACTGACACCAATGATGGGGCACTATTTCCTCCCACTGACACCAATGATGGGGCACTATTCCTCCCACTGACACCAATGATGGGGCACGATTTTTCCACTGACACCAATGATCGGGCACTATTCCTCCCACTGACACTAATGATGGGACACTATTCCTCACACACTGACACTAATGATGGGGCACCATCATTGGTATCAGTGGGAGGAATAGCGCCCCCATCATTGGTATCAGTGGGAGGAATAGTGCCCGATCATTGGTGTCAGTGGGAAAAATCGTGCCCCATCATTGGTGTCAGTGGGAGGAATAGTGCCCCATCATTGGAATACCATACTGAAATACCATACCATATTGAAATCAAATCTGATGTTTTTTCATTTTTATTTGGTGTGCGTTGGAAGAGGGGTAGTCGTATACGGCGAGTATAGCTCAAACCCTATATTTTTAACAGGAAAAAAGTAGGGGGTCGTCTTATACGCCTAGTCGTCTTATACGCCGGCAAATACGGTACTTATTACTGACTTTTGGCTTGTTTACTGACTACACTTCTGCTTGATCCCTACTTGCTATATCTGCTACTGGACCTAATTTCCGGCAGTAATTCTTTCAGAATCGGTTTGCTGCTATAGAACTACCTGAATTTACTGCACACGTTTGTAATGTTGTAGATATTGGCACAAATATTTGCATGAATTAGGCACAGTTAGTTCTTATTGGATCTACCACCAGAAATCTGTCATTAGGGCTTTTCTGATTTTCATGATTTTTAGATATACATGTAAATTAGATTCAAAGCCATTATTACATTCAGCAACAGCTTTCGAATCTACCCACTTCCTGTGCTGCCAATCAACAGAAAAGCTGACCTGATGGGGAACTTGTACTTCAGTTCCCCATAAAGCTCCACCTACTCAGTGACAGATCATTTCCTCAGTATGGGCATTGCCATACTTAGCTAATGACATCACCATTGTTTACATTTAGCGTTCGACTGCAGAATCTACCTGCGAACAGCTAATGGTTCTTTAAGGTTTATGATGCCTTTGTGATACTGTATTTGTATGATTAATGGTTTATATGTATATACATCTTCTAGCTAAGGCATTCGGTCTCTTCACCTCCAGTTTTGGGTTCCTGAAGAAGATAACAAGCGAAACGCGTCGACATTTAAAGGACACTTATGCCATAGAACCTTATGCTGTTATTTCTCGGGCTGATTAGCCAAGTATTGTTTTTATACAATGTCATTCAATAAATATGCTAATGTATAAACACAAGGTTGTCTGCTTAATGTACCAGTAAAGTCCCATCAGGTTTTGTTTTTCTTTGAATTGTATATTAGGGATGAGGTACGCATACTGTCTATAATAATATAGCAGTATTAAACCCAAAAAACAAAAATTTAATTTATTGCATCTTACCAATCCTTAGTGATGGTGGCTGCATGTCTTTTTTTTTAACCTGTTTGAGCTGACAGTACACATATATGCAGCTTCTTGGCAGGTGGGCGTTTGATGTCAAGAGGCCACATATATGTGCACCAAAATGTAAACAAAGCTGGGCTGAGAGCTCACGCCCTCTGCACTCCCGGCACAGTTACCAGTGCCTAATGGAAAGCTCCTGGTCATGTGACCGCTGTGACAGCCAATCACAATGGTCATATGATCATGAGCCCTGCCTCCCAGCATCAGAAAGCCCTTAATTGGCTGGGAGGCACTGGCATTAGGGGGTTAAGCTGTGTTTCCTTCATTTTCACCTGGGGATTCACCCAGTAACATGCTTCCTGTCTTAGGTTGTCTCTACTCTGGATGGAGGAACAACAGAGACACCTTTGGACAGCAGCATTGATAGTTTGGGGAAAGAGTATTGTTAGACTAGTAGATTTAGATGGACTTGACTAACATATTGAAGCTGAACTCCAGCTGACACTTTTTAGGCTCCATGCACAATGGGCATTTTAATAACACTGGTAATGTTAGCTGTGTAAAGTCCCATTAAAAACGTGAGTTTTTCAGCAGTTTTTAGCGTTTTTGTATTAGTGTTTAGCGGCGTTTTTCTGTGTTTGCGTTTTTTAGAGGATTTTTTTTTACAAAAAAAAATTTTTTTTGGTCAAAAAAAGTCCAAAAACGCTGGTTTGCAGCGATTTACCACATTTTGTCTCGTTTTTCAGCATTAGAGCGTTTTTACAGTTAAAAAACTCCTCTAGAAACTCACTAGTTCTGGGGGTTTTTTCCAGCCAAAAAACGCCCCTGACAAAAACATTGATTACAGTCTATGTGTGCATGGACACATAGGATAACATGCTGGGGAGTTTACTGGCTGTAGAAAGAAGTCACAAGCCAAAAACAACAGCTGTAAAAACGTCCAGTGTGCATGAGGACTTAAAGCAAACTTCACCTAAAAGGTTTTGGAGGGGGGGGATGGGTACCTGGTTTTGGCAGATCCAAGCAGAAGTTCACCCTCCCTTCCCCCCAGCCTTCTGGCACACGTCACAGGTCCCAGAAAACTGTGAGACCATTCACAAAGCACAGTGCAACTCACGCATGCACAGTGGGAAGCCGGCTGTGAGGCCGCAAGCTGTCACAGTCAGATTCACAAAGTAAACATGATGGGGCCTGAACCCGAAGACGACTGAAGAATTGGCTTGGGTGAGATCTGCACTGGACAGGTAAGTGTCCTATTATTAAAAAGTCAGCAGCTACAGCATTCGTAGACTTTTAATTTTTTGTTTCTAGGCTTTAAGCAGTTAGAACAACTAATTTGTTTTTTTTTCGTTGTGGGATACAAATTTTACATAAATTCAGAAATGCTGACCATTGTAGGCACCCTGTTAATAGGAAATGATTTGTCCCAACCCTCCAACTGACAGTTTTCTTTACCTTTCTGTTAAAGAAAGTTGAAAAATATCAGACTTACTGGCTGGATCACCAGGTAAAAATAAATGAAAAAATCCTAACAAAAATAATGCAGCCACATCTATGGATTGGTCAACTGCAATAAAATATTTGGTTTTGGATTTAAAGTTCCGCTTCTTAAGGCTTTGTTCTCCACTCCCCATTAAGGATTGGCACATTTGGGGAGTGGGTACCCGAATTTGACAGATACTCGCTTCCACTTCCAGTGCGATCGCCTAAGGCACATGGTCCCAGAAGACTACAGGACCCTTCACAAAGCGCAGCACTACTCGCTCATGTACCATGGGCACCCGGCTGTGAGGCTACAAGCTGTCACAGCTGGGTTCCCACACTGAAGATGCTGGCGCCAGGGAGAGAAGACAGCTGGTAAAACCAGCTGTGGTGAGGACACCGCTGGGCCATGGGACAGGTACAGTGCGGATCGAAAGTTTGGGCACCCCAGCTAAAAATTTGTATTAATGTGCATAAAGAAGCCAAGGAAAGATGGAAAAATCTCCAAAAGGCATCAAATTACAGATTAGACATTCTTATAATATGTCAACAAAAGTTAGATTTTATTTCCATCATTTACACTTTCAAAATAACCGAAAACAAAAAAATGGCGTCTGCAAAAGTTTGGGCACCCTGCAGAGTTAATATCTTGTACTGCCCCCTTTGGCAAGTATCACAGATTGTAAACGCTTTTTGTAGCCAGCCAAGAGTCTTTCAATTCTTGTTTGAGGTATCTTTGCCCATTCTTCCTTACAAAAGTCTTCCAGTTCTTTGAGATTTCTGGGCTGTCTGTCACGCACTGCTCTTTTAAGGCCTATCCATAGATTTTCAATTATGTTGAGGTCAGGAGATTGTGAAGGCCATGGCAAAACCTTCAGTTTACGCCTCTTGATGTAATCCCCCGTGGATTTCGAGGTGTGTTTAGGATCATTATCCATTTGTAGAAGCCATCCTCTCTTTAACTTCAGCGTTTTCACAGATGGCATCAAGTTACCATCCAAAATTTGCTGAAATTTTATTGAGTCCATTTTTCCTTCTACTCCTGAGATGTTCCCTGTGCCACTGGCTGCAACACAACCCCAAAGCATGATTGATCCAACCCCATGCTTAACAGTTGGACAGAGATTCTTTTCATTAAATTCTGTGCCCCTTCTTCTCCAAACGTACCTTTGCTCATTCTGGCCAAAAAGTTCAGTTTTAACCTCATCGGTCCACAGAACTTGTTTCCAAAATGCATCAGGCTTGTCTATATGTTCATTTGCAAAGTTCAAACGATGATTTTTGTGGTGAGGACGTAGAAGAGGTTTTCTTCTGATGACTCTTCCATGAAGACCATATTTGTACAAGTATCTCTTTATAGTGGAATAGTGTACCACAACTCCAGTGTCTGCCAGATCTTTCTGGAGGGATCGTGCAGTCAAACGTGGGTTTTGAATTGTTTTTCTCACAATCCTGCGAGCTGTTCTGTCTGATATTTTTCTTGGTCTTCCAGATCTTGCTTTAACTTCCACTGTTCCTGATGACTGCCATTTCTTAATTACATTCCGAACAGAGGATATTGACATCTGAAAACGCTTTGCTATTTTCTTATAGCCTTCTTGAGAACAATTGAGAACAATCCAAGACACTGGCAGGTCTCAGCTTTGCAAAGGGGGCAGTGCATGCTATAAATTCTGCAGGGTGCTCAAACTTTTGCAGACGCCATTTTTTTGTTTTCTGTTATTTTGAAAGTGTAAATGATGGAAATAAAATCTAACTTTTGTTGACATATTATAAGAATGTCTAATCTGTAATTTGATGCCTTTTGGAGATTTTTCCATCTTTCCTTGGCTTCTTTATGCACATTAATACAAATTTTTAGCTGGGGTGCCCATACATTCGATCCCCACTGTAGGTGTCTGTATTTTAAAAGTCAGCAACTACAGTTTTTGTAGCTGCTGACTTTTATTTTTTTTTAATTCAACTGGAACTCCATTAATGCAAACTTTTTGGCTATTGTAATGTTGAATGCAACCACAGATGGGGTCTGATTTATTAAAATGACTTGGATGCTAAATTAAAAAATTGCTCCCTGCAAAATATAGAATTTATACCTACCTGTCCTGTAGCCAGTGACCCCAATCTTTGCTCTCTTGAAGAGATGAGCTTGATAGGGAATCTATGTCATACTATACTGGAGGTGTTAGATGGCTTGTCCTTCATTGTAGTCTGGACTACCTTTCTGCCAGTCCCTATGTGACTATTGTGTGCTTTGTAGTTAGAGATTGGCAGATGGAACC